TTTCATGTAAGGCAGGCCCAGTGATTTCGGATAATAAAAAGTGGACATATATAAGTTAGAGTTTAAAGTAAGAAGTTTTCTACACGAAGCAGTTAAATTTTTTCGTCTAAGATTTTTATCATTTATTTTGTAGGAACGTCTCTGGCGTAAAACTCGAAGACCAGATACTGTAAATCCTGCTTGCGTTGGAGTTGATGGAAACAGAAATTATGCTTATCAATGGGGAGGTGCTGGAACTTCTGATAATCCTTGTTCAGATGTCTTCAAAGGTAATAAGGAAATTCTATGGGTCACTCTTTATTTGTGAAATATATAGTCAGAAAGGAGTATCGGATTTGAATGATCTAAAAAACATTCAATTTGTAATGATTGGAAGAAGAGGTCATTAGTTTTTGGCAAAGACAGGTCCCGCCATTTCGAAGATACAGAGCTAAATGTGCAAAAAATGGCAGTTGTTGAGAGAACTAAGCGTCCGATTTGAATGATTCTTCTTGTATTGACAAAACAATTGCTTTTGAGGATAAAAAATTATTACATCTTTTATTTATTTTCCATAAAATATTTTTGTAATTTTGGATTAAAAATTCAAAAAATTACCCAGGCTAAGCACAGTCTAAGCGCCACTCTGGTAAAAATGTTTACCCAAGTGCGTTTAGACTGTTTATATACTGGAGCAATTTTCCAATTTTGTGAAAACTATTGAAAAGTGTGAAAATGCCGCCAAGCTAAGCACTGTTTTTCAATTTTATGTAAATTAGGCAACTATTTTTTGAGATTGAATTCGAAATGAATGACGATGTTAATGTTCTGGAGTTGATAAATTGATTTATGATTTCAATTTGATTTGCTCAGATATAACAAGATAGCAAAAACAATGAAATTTACAGTGTTTGTAATAATAATATATTTGAAAACGTTTAAAATTTCTCGAATATTTCATTACGGTACCAGCAATTTGCCTTAAGGCACGATGCAATACACCACTAGTTTAAAATTTTGCTTGAATTCATCCAAGTCTGTACCTTGGCTTTTAATTAATTTCCTAACTTTTGTTTCTCAACACGTTATAGAGGATAATATAGGTTACGTTATTAAGCACATCTTATACCCGTCGTAGATTTTTTTAGTCTTCCTATTTTAGCAATATAGATGTGGTTCAGTTTACTATTTTTATTCCACAATTCCACTAAATAAAGTTCTTTCTTCTCCAATTCTGTGCAGTTGCTTCTTGCTTGATATCTTGTTGGTCCATTTCATAGTTCATAGTTTAAATTTTTTCAACAATCCAAGTTCCAAACACTCCAGATAGTATTTGCAGCAGTTTCCTAAAATCCCTGTATCTTATATCTGATACAATCTTTCTTAAAGTCCACACGTAGTCATGTCCCTTTACTACTATTTCACCAGTTTCTTCACTAATTAATTATTATCATTTATTTATCTAGGTCGTGAACCATTCTCCGAACCCGAGACTCGTACCATGGGCAACCTGATCAAAGCAGAAGCCAATGCCAACCCTAACAGGGTCGGTTATCTAACATTCCACTCATTCGGCTACTGGCTCCTGTTTCCTTGGGGACATTCTCCTACTGCTCCAGAACCACCATTTGCCCACAAATTAAAAAGGGCGACCAATAATGTCGTGAAAGCAGTTCATAGGAAAACTGGAGGAATTTATAAGGTAAGGATAAAGATCATAAACAACGTCAGTTTAACCTTTAACTTTATCCAATTTTTCCCCAGGCTGGTAATTCTGCCCAGCTCCTGTATGCTGCAGCAGGAGGTGCTGATGACTTTGCAATGGGTGCAGCAGGAATTGAATTGGCGATGACAGTGGAATTGCCTCCAAGAGCTTCTGGAGCTGAAGGATTCCTGCTGCCTCCTGAACGCATCATCAGCGTTTGCAATGAGACTATGATTGTTGTTCGAGAACTTGGAAATTTTTTGGTTGATAACTATTTGTTTAAGTGGAGAATGATAGAGAATAAATTATTGTTTTGATGTTGTGTGCTTTTGTTTTCAATTCCTTGAAATTCCCTCTTTGATCAATGATCAATCATCCCAATACTTATCTAATATAAATTTGATACTATAAAATGACAAATTATACCTATGCCGAAAAAATAATTGGGCATTAAATTTATAAATATATTAAAATTTATAAATAAATTGGATATATATATATATATATATATATATTATATTATTTACATATAAAATGGAGCTCTCGATAAAATGATCCGCTAAAACTCAAAAACGGCTAAACCGATTTAGCCAGTCTTAGGTTAGTAGATTGTCGGTAAGGTGAGATATTATTTCAAAATCGCGTAGAAACTTCACATTTTTAATTTGAACATTTTTGATAATCGTAATTTAAATAAAACATGGACGGTGGCTAATACGTCAAATGTCAAACGTTTTTGACAGAAGATGTTCAATTACGTTTAATAGGATGTTTAGGATGATAAAAACGTTAGTAAACTATTTCAATTTTGTGTAAATTAGTAAATAGGCAAGTATTTTTCGAAATTGATAAATAATTTGATTTAAAATTGATTTATAATTTGCATTTTATTTGCTCACAGTGTTAAGTCAGATTTAACAATATAGCAAAAATAATGAAAGTTACAGTATTTATTAGAAAACATTCAAAATTTCTCGAATATTTTATTACGGTACGGAAAGTTCCAGCAATTTCCTTAAGGCACGATGCCGTACACCACTAGTTCATTAACACTTTCCAAGTATTTTCCTGAATATATATCTGATCTGAGCAATAAAGAAAGTTTCATTTATTTTTCATCAACAAAACATTGTGCTGGAACGAATTAATTAAATTATGAAAAAAATTACTTCGAGATACGAGGAATTCGATATTATTACGGAACGAATTAGGCTTGCAAGGTCACTGTATATATATTGCGAAAATCGATTATAACAAACTTAATAGTAGAAATAAAGTATTGCAATTTCTGCACTCGTTAAACAAAATGAATTAAATTTTAAATTTCACGTAGATAGAATAATTCTATAATTCTGCATCGATTCACAGTCATTTCAAAAATGTTAAAAATAGCAACAATAATTTTTGTTGCTTTTAATTTAGCGAATGGTGGTCGCGTTTATGATGGGTAAGCAAAAAAGACTTACCTAAATAAATTACGCCTGGAGTCTATTTCTACAAATATCTTTTTTATTTCAGTTACAAACTTTACGAAATAAGGCCCAAACAAAATCCGAAGCACACGATTTAATGGAATGGCAGGCAAAACCAGGAGTCGATTTCTGGTCCGAAGCCAGGATGCTCAATCATACTAGCCTGGTTATGATCTCACCTGAGCTTCAGGAGGAATTCGAAGGATATCTGATCGATAGTAATTATACTTGGAAAATTGCTGAGGATAATGTAGAAAGGTGAGGGATACTCAAATATTTAAAATTTAACACGTCAGTCATATGTGTCTGACACTAAAAAGTTCTACATGAGCCGTATTAGACATATTTGGAATCAAATGTTACAACGTAACAGTATCATTTTTATTTTGACATGTTGAGCACCCTGTCAGTCTTATGTGTCTGACGCTGTAAAGTTATACATAAATCATGTCAGACATATATTTGTAGCACATGCGATTTGGTACACAAAAAATTAATACAATGCCATGCCAGTCATACATGTGTGACATAAAAAATAGTGTTCTGTCAAAAAAAATCTTCAATTATTTATAGTTATTAATTATTTGTTTGTATTTTGTAGACTTATACAAAATTTTGAAAAAAGTAGACAAAAGCCAATTCATAAAGTTGGCGGTGGATTTAATTTCTTTGATTATCAGAGATCGGAAACGGCAAGTATAAGAAAAATCGTATACATCTCTGTTCTAGCAAAAATGTCAATTTTAATATTTTTTTATAATTTCTAGATCAACTCATATCTGAGAACATTGGCCAAAATGTATCCAAAATATGTGACTGTTAAGGATGAGGGCAGAAGTTTTGAGCAACGAGTCATCAAATCCGTACGAATCACAGATGGATCATGTAAGTATTTAATACTTTATTATATGTATTATTTACATTTACTATTATTTTCAATTTCTAGATTTCGATGAAAAGGTGACGATGGTCATCGAATGTGGCATCCATGCACGCGAATGGATTGCTCCTACTTTCTGCATGTACCTGATAGAACAGTTGACAGTATACAGAGGACAAAATCTGGACTTGTTAAAGAACATCGACTGGTTTATTGTGCCATTGTTGAATCCTGATGGATATGAATACACCCACACGAAGGTAAAAAGAAACAAGTTGTAAGTAGCACTTTGGCTTAAAGTAAGTTGCATGAACTTTCCGATGCATAACCTACTTAATTATGAGGCAATTCTGCTTCATAACATAGCGTTGTTATGGCAATGAAACTGTGAAAATGTCTATTCATGTGCTGTCCGATCAGGCGTATTTCGCATATAAATAAGCAAGGAAGAACTCTGTTATGATAACAGAATTTTTGATGATGTAGTTATCATAACATTCTTCCTTGCTTGCTTATATGTAAAATATGTCTGATCGCACAGCAAATAGATAGACATTTTCATAGTACCAAGAGGCAGAATTGCCCCATTAATTAATTTAATATTTGTGTTATTTATTATGTAGGATCGTCTCTGGCGTAAAACTCGAAAACCTGATACTGTAAATTCTGCTTGCGTCGGAGTTGACGGAAATAGGAATTTCGACTTTGAATGGGGAGATGAAGGAACTTCTGATGATCCTTGCTCAGAAATCTTCAAAGGTAATATGAAAACTTAAATTATTGGATCAGAACACGATTGAAAAAAAAGAGTGCGCGTAAGGTTCACACGCGATTAAAGTAAAACTTATTTGCTACTATACAAGATGGCATTTAAGTGAAAATAAATACATCATATAACAATTTTGAATAATGTTTATTAGCAATATGCTAACACTCACGATGCACACATTTATTAGTGTCAACCATTATACACATTTATATAATGATAAATCATAAATTATAATTTATAATAGCATTAAAAATATATATAATATTTAAAAACAATAATGTAATCAAAGTCATACTTCAAATGTGACATGATCGGTTTGTCATTGTAATTAGCATTTAGGACTTGGACCTTTCATTAGAGAAATGAAGTAATTGCTGATTAATAACTTCTATATTATTCGTTCACACAGTGGATTATGTTAAACAACGCCTAAACAAATATTGTTTTCGCAACTTCACTTATCATCAGTATTAGAAAGGACAAAGGTAATAATTGTGTTTGAAGAACTTCATGTAATTAAAATTAACATACATTCATTGACTGTTTGTATTTTTTTTACTTTTTTCCTGGCGATATAATCTCATTCTTTGAACAGTTGTAATATCTGTCTTGCCCAAAATATTTTTCATTTTAATAACTTCAAAGATTAATAGAAACTACGAATAATATAGAAATAATTTCTAATCAATAAACTTACGTTTATTACACGGCACAAATGCTTAATTTGTTTTATTATTTTCAAGGAACAGGGTAAAATATTCTTCTGATTCAGGCATTTTTCATTAAATCAAGATTTGTACTACGATATGACTTTGAAATATTTATTTATCTATACCGATTTCCTTGTTGATTTCGGTACGCATACAACGTTGATGCCGGTATGCATACAACGACAGATCTCTATTTACATACACGACGGCAAATCACAATCGACCCATAGAGAAATGATCTCGTCGAGAGCGAATGACAAACAGTTCGGGCGTAACGGACTTCCGTTGCATTTGTACGGATTTACACCCTAGTTGCGCCTAAAGAAGTTTCACTTAAAAAAACATTGCTAATCAATGTTTGTTTTATCCATCAATTAATTTACTAAATGTTATTGGTGCTTCAACAATTCCTTGTCGAACCCTCAACGGCTGTACCCTGTACTTTTTAAACTTTTGCTTGAATTTATCCAAGTTTGTACCTTGGTTTTCAATTAATTTCCTAAACATTTGCTTTTCAAGACATTATTAAGCACCATTCATCCTTATCGTAAATTTTTTCAGTCTTCCTATCCTTGCAATATAGATCTGGATTAGTTTACAGTTGATTAAGTTCTTCTCTCTCCAATTCTTAGCAGTTGTTCCTTATTTGACATCTTGTTAGTCCATTTCATCTTTCCAATTTTTGCAACAAGCCAAATTCTAGACACCCCAGATAGTATTTGCGGGAGTTTCTTAAAATCCCTGTATCTATATCTGATACAATCTACCTTAAAGTCCACACGTAGTCATGCCCCTTTACTACTATTTCATCAGTTTCTTCGCTAATTAATTCTTATCAATTTTTATTTAGGTCGTGAACCATTCTCCGAACCCGAGACTCGAATCATGGGCAACCTGATCAAAGCAGAAGCCAAAGCCAACCCCAACAGGGTCGCTTATCTATCGTTTCACTCTTTCGGCTACTGGCTTCTGTATCCATACGGTTATTCTCTTACTGCTCCAGAACCACCATCTCTTGACAAATTAAAAATGGCAACTGATAACGTCGTGAAAGCAGTTCACGAGCAAACTGGATCATCTTATGAGGTAATAAACAAATCAGTTAAATCTTGTGAAACCTTTATCTTTATCCATTTTTCCCCAGGCTGGTAATTCTGCTGAGCTCCTGTATGCTGCAGCAGGAGCTGGAGATGACTTCGCAATGGGTGCAGCAGGAATCGAGTTGGCGATGACAGTGGAAATGCCTCCAAGAAGTGATGGATATGAGGGATTCATGCTGCCTTCTGAAAACATCATCAGCGTCTGCATGGAGACCATGATTGTTGTTCGAGAACTTGGAAAGTTTATGGTTGATAACTATTTGCCTTAAGTAAAGGAAAATAGAGATTGAACTATTGATTGATGTTTTGTACTTTGACCTTCAAGATTCCCTTAAAAATTGTCAATCATCCCAATATGTAACCTACCCTGTTTCCTCTTTGTTCTA